ACTATTTTACATATTAATTTATTTCCAGAATTGTGTGAAAGTCGTATCTTTATTGATCATTATGATTCTACATACTAATCCTCGAACAACAATTTACTTAATTTACGAATATTAAAATTCGAATCAGTTAGTAATTGGTAACTTTATTTGTTAACTGCCCATAAAGGGTATGTAAAAATTGTATTTTGAGTTCATTGCTGAAGGCGCAGGAAGGCGCAATTGCATCGTTGTAAAAAAACAGTCACAGTACATGTCTTTTTTGGTCCTTAGATGTTTAAATTGGAAATCACATATACGGACAAAAAACAGCATGTGGACATGAGAAGAGCCCTGCATTGTTTGCTTGGACGGAAATCTAATTAATCAGTTTATAAAAATATAAAATTATCTTTAAATCTACGCAATAAAATAGTAATCAACTAATAGTGGGTGCACCAAGATGTGTCTGGTTATCACTCCTGTAGATGCCAATCTGACTAATATTCAATTTCACCAGGAACACCAATACATCTACAGTTGCAGAAGAAACAATAAAAGTGTTGGAAAAATACAAACTTGATAATTTTTTATAATAAATAAAAATTCAAGTCATTTAGCAGCCAAACTTTGTGACATAAATAATAAATTTAGACTAAAGGACCAAAATTAATTAAGTCAACACACTATTTTATGAGTAGTTCGATATACATAGTAAGCACACCATATATTAAACCCTACGTCGATCGGAGTGGTCCGGCCAGACTTTTTTCGACTTCAATTTAAAAAAAATTCTTTTAGTAATCCTATCGACTTAAAATTTCTGGACTTTTTCTTAAATTTTATTAGCTGTCGATCAATGAAAAAATCAGAACGAAAAAATGTGTGGTCCAGACAGACTACTCCGACCGTTCGAAGGTAAATAAATATTCGACCGACGGAGGGTTAAATTATTTTCCAACTATTAGCAATATAAGGACTAAAACCGGACACCCTTAATGCAAACTTGCAATTTTATCTGTAAGTTTAGAAAAATGACAAAGTTTAGTCGTACAAACTTTAAGTTAGATAAATCATAAAATATACTGTATAGATATCTGTAAATTAAAGTAAATAAATATAATTAAACACATAATACTAAGCTTTAATTACACCATCAAACCATTTATTAACTTCCCGTAGGGCAAGTTATAGTAATCGCAAAAAAATCGAAAATGAAAATTTTTATATATCTTTACGTTTCAAAGGTTTCTGAACATTTTGGCATACCTTAGAAAAAATGGATGTATGTGTGTGTATGTAATGTGTGTGCGTGTGTGTGTGTGTGTGCGGATACAAATTTTCGTCGACGATTTCGGAAACACCGATCAACCGATTTGAATAACTCAAAAAACATTCGATTCGTATTGATAAGGAGACGTGCTGATTAGTTTTTGGCAAAAGCAGGTCCAGCCGTTCCAAAGATATGGGGCAAAAAGTGCCAAAAACGGTAACTCAGTTTTAAAGAGAAGGGAGCGTCCGATTTGAATAATTCAAAAAACATTTCACTTGAATTAACATGATGAAGAACTGATCAAATTTTCATGAAGGCAGGTCTAGCGGTTTTGCAGATCTAGTAAAAAAAGTAAAAAAAAGCCATCTGGCGGTCAAAAATGATCATTAGACATATGCACATCAAATTAACAGATATTCTATAAAGTTTTTGATAATAAGAATCAATTTTGTTCACATTCCTAAGGGTTCCGTACCAATGTTCATCCATTAGACGGCGGCGCGGCGCTTACGCGCTTTGATATTTCGTCTCTATGCAGTTAAAGCAGTACGATTGCTTCGAAAAAGTTCAGAAATTCCAAAATATTTCAAAATAAATTTTTTTTCAGAAAGTCTTTTTTTTCAAAAAAAAAAGTAAATTTATGTCAAAAATTTATAGTTTCTCAAAAATCTAATTTTTTCAGAGTAAATTTTTTTCAAAAATGTTAATCTTTTTCAAAAAAAAAAATTCTTGGTACGGGAACTTCCAGCAATTTGTCTTAAGGCACGATTTGTTTATATATATATGTTCATATATAATCTTATTTTTAAATATTTACCGACGTTTTGGATACATTTTCGGTAAATTCAACACTTCGTTGATATTTTGCTAATTCAAAATATGATTCCTATTATTTTTGGAAAAACGATAACGATACTTTGATTGTATATATTTTTTTAAAAAAATTGTAAAATTTGAAATTGATGTTAGAATTGGTGATAAATATAAAAACCTAAAAATATCTGAAAAAATTAATATTGTCGAGTTTAAGAAATATTTTAGAATTTCGATTGTATAAATAATTTATTTTCGGTATGTTATTTTATAATGTAATTTTATTGATGTATTTCGATAATTGCTATGCTAAATCGAATACTACTTAATTAATTGTAAATTATACATGCGCATAGGAAAACAATCAAATTGAAACTGACGTTCAATAATTAGTGAGTAATTTATTTATTTATAAATTACTTACAAAGGTCTATGAAGATAATATAGTGCCAATATGTAATGAATAAATTAGATTGATTGCCTTAAGTAATTAAATACTATAGGTTACGGAATTTTATAAAATCAATGATTAATATAAATTTATTTGAACAAGTGGTTTTCATTAAAGTATTAAATGTATAAAGTGAAAAAGCAATAAAAATCAAGTTAAAACAGTATTAAAATGACAAAGACGTTAATATATGCATTAAAACCAATTAATATTATGTGTGCTCTAATAGGATTCTATTATATCAAGGATACATACTCTTCAAATAAAAAGAAATGGGAATTTAAATTTCTTGAATTTTTGGATATTATTCGTTGTTGTTCCTGCATATATATAGCAATTTATATGCCAATATTTCAATACAAAGTTTGGGAATATAACTCTTGCTTATCAAATATTCAAAAGTTGTTTCGTTTTTCAATAATAATGGAGATGCTAGAGGTAATTATTTTTGCTATTATTATTATACATAAGAAAAATTGGTGGGGGAGACTGGGTACAGTAGTGACAGTCGTCATAACAGCTGAACTATACTGATTTTGATAGTGTCTAAAGAAAGAAAGATGAAGTATGTTTGTTCGAACAAGTTTCTATTATAGTACTGAGTCCGCGACGGTCTGTGTTGCTTTTAAACAGATAAAAAAAATCTAACTTAACACAAAATACGAAAGAGAAAGAGCAAGGAAATTTTAACACAAAAAATACCAAACATTTCTTTTGTAAAAAATTATTTTTGGTATGGGCCGCTCATTGCACGCATTGACTAACTCACATTTTTGAAAAAACTGAGATATTAGTGCAAAAGTACTTGGTATAATAATCATTAACTTTTTGTGATTTTATTAACTTTTTGAACTAATGAAAGTTAGCACGCGAAACCCCACTTCCCGTAGGGCAAGTTATAGTAATCGCAAAGAAAATCGAAAATAAAAAAAATTATATATCTTCACGTTTCACAGGTTTCTGAACATTTTGGCATACCTTAAAAATAGATATATACGAGGTCTGTTCAAAAAGTACCCGGAATTTTCGTTTTTTCAAAAAAATATTTATTTATTCGTCTACATTAATGTGGTCCCCTTCAAAGTAGTCCCCCCAGATATAATACACTTATGCCAGCGTTTTTTCCAATTTTCGAAGCACCCTTGATATTCACTTTTTGATATGTCCTTGAGCACTCTCAGCGATTTTCTTCAATCGAGGAAAACCGCCGTCCTTTCATGGGTCTCTTCAACTTTGGGAATAGGAAAAAGTCACACGGAGCCATATCTGGTGAATTTTTGCACTTTGCAACACTTTATTTCATTTTTTACGCAAAATTTAATACAAATTCCTTGACTTTTCAATTCTTCCATTGTAAAAATCGCCGAGCTCAGAAAAACACGTCGAACCTTAGCGACTACCACAGACAAAGTAAACAGTGAATATAGCTGAAAATTTCATCATACTTTAGGGGCATGTATACCAACACAATAAAAAAAAAATTTTGACAATCAGACACTCCAGACCCGCGAAATTTAATTATTAGTAATTCCGGGTACTTTTTGAACACACCTCGTATGTGTGTGTGTGTGCGGATACAAATCTTCGTCGACGATTCAACGATTTTAATCATTCAAAATACATTCGATTCCTATTAATAGGGAGACGTGCCGATTAGTCTTTGGCATAGGCAGATCTAGCCGGCAAAAACTGCCAAAAATAGTAACTCAGTTTTTAAGAGAACGGAGCGTCCGATTTGAATAATTCAAAAAACATTTTACTTGTATTGACAAGATGAAGAGCTGATTAAATTTTTGGGAAAGCAGGTCTAGCGGTTTCGGAAATCTAATAAAAAAAAGTAAAGGTCAAAAATGATTATCAGACATACGCACATCATATTATCAGATATTTTATGGAGATTTTAATAATGTGTATCAATTTTGTTTACATTTCTATGGGTTCTGTAACATCGTTTGTTCGTTAGATGGCGACGCGGCGCTTACGCGCTTCGTTATTCCGTGTCTATGCAGCTAAAGCAGTACAATTGATTTGAAAAAGAGTTCAAAATTTTCAAAATATTTCAAACTAAAAAAAAACATTTTTTTCCAAAAGATTGTTTCCAAAAAAGTTATTTTTTTTTCAAAAATTTAAAATTTATCAAAAATCTAATGTATTCAAAGTTTAAAATATATTTAATTTTTTTTTAAATTAATTTTTAGTGCGGGAAGTTCTAGCAATTTGCTTTAAGCCACGATGGCATACACCACTAGTTTTGCAATTTTATTATAACAGGAATTTTTAAAAGCAATATAAAGTAATGTAACTTCATTGCTTTTTCCACTCTCTGATTTTTTGAGTCAGTCACTGAACGGCTGAAATGATGTATTGGTTACATATTTTTGACAAAAAATGTGGTTATAAACCATTTTGGTGTTTGAAGATTAAACACAATGTTTAACTAAACCTTATCCCTTATCCCTTTTTTTACATTTTGAATAATGTTTTCAGGTTGTTCTAATCTTGGGCACAGATCTCATTAACAGAAAGAAAACAGAAAAATTACTAAAGAATCTTCATTATGTTGATCAGAAATTGCCAAAAAAGCATAACTATGAGATACTGATGTTGACTATGACTTTAGTGGGATTTTTTATATTTTGCAGAGAACCTAGAATTCAAGTCAAGTCTATATTTTCAATAAGCAATATTGAAAGTTTGTTTAAAATTTACTATGTTCGCATTATAACATATGCTGGTTATTTCTTTACTTTTAAATTTGTGGCAATAAGTTACATTATTCACAAAAGATTTAATGCTATCAGCCAAAATTTGATGGAGTTTTCCGAGAAGAAAACCAAAGTACGAGTAAAAGTTATTTCTAAATTCTATTTATAATATGCATATATTGCAATATAATGTAATGTAATAATGTTTCAGGTTTTGCTGCAGAATGAATCTTACATCAATCAAGAAATACAAACGCTGCAAATTTGCTATGAATTGCATATCAAATTATATAAATCTACCAAGATTCTTAATTATATATTCAATGTTCCGATTCTCATGTAACTATTTTGTCTTCTATATGTTATATTGTGGAGTAAAAAATTAAGTCTGGATTTGCAATATTTTTTTTTGAAAATGACTAATATATTATTAAAATTCTCAATGTTTGTGAACGTTTGTTCGGTTATTTAAAATCAAATAAATACTTTCCAGTTTTATTCAAATCTTCCAAATTTTAAAAATAAAACTATTGAAAAATGCCTCATATAAGTGGACATTTTAATGATCTATGATTTTTAATTTAAAAAAAACATACCGGTTAACGAACAATGCTAAAATACCTCTTAAAAAATAAAAACGTTCTACTAAACATTTTCAGGCAATTATTTTAACTGGGCAAAATGTCTTTTATATTTTATAATAAGTTTTACACATTTCTAAATAATTCATTTGAAATCTCGATAACTAATGAAACTATAATGCATTTGTTCATTAAGAAATTACTATATATGTCTAAAAAAATTATCCAAGAAGTATAAATTACGTCGAAGGATCAAATAATATTTCATCACCTTTTTCAGGCGATGTTTTCATGCGTTCGCTATTCCTGTAATGAATGGGAATTCCTTAATAAAAATGTATAAAAATTATGATCTAGTAAGTTTAAGAACTTTTACAATTTCTATATCTGTAAGTTTGAAGTCCATAGCTCCTGCATTTTTAATAGCGGCATCTTGTCATGTAGTGAGCAAAAAAGCAGCCAAAATAGCTATTTTACTTCATAGGGTACAAAACCAACAAGACAAACGTATAAGAAATATTGTAAGTATGAAATTATATTTTAAATTAATAATGGTTATTAAAACATGATGTGTTTATATGTAAACATTTGTAATTCTAATTTATTTGCAGATTCAGATATGGTCTTTGCATATGCACCATAATAGAGTAAAATTTATGGCAGCTAGTTTATTTGATTTGGATGCGACTTTTATTTATAAGGTTATTATATGCTAACAATTTATAGCAAATAAATTTAGAAATTTATATATGTATATAACTACATTACGTTTCAGACTTGTGTAGCAGTCACATCATTTGTGGTCATTCTGATTCAATTTGGTAGTCTTCAACCATACTAATACTTACATATTTATCATCAACTAGCTGTACCCATTCACGCTTTGCCGTGTTTTATTTTCAATTGAAAATTTGAACGAAAATGCATATTTGTTACATCTTCTCTACCAGTTTTCTTGTCTTCCAGTCTACCTTATATGGCAATCTGTCTACATCTCTACCTGTCTACCAGTTTACTTGTCAACAAGTAAACCTGTTAACCTATTTATCAGTCTACCGATTTATCTGTTCAACAATTTACCTATCACCTGTTTATCAATACACCTTATTACCAATACACATCCGTCTACATATTTGTCTGTCTACCAATTCACCCGTCAACTAATTTACCTGTCCACCTATTAATCTACCTACTAATTTATCTACCTACATGTAAATCTGTCTATGTATTGAACTGTAATAACAATTCGAATCATTATTTTGTTTAATAATTACAAAACGCGATGCTAGTTATATGTAGGTTACGCGGACATCGGAAGTGCTTACTGTTGGATTTTGTAAATAGGTTGTAAACAATAAATTAGTATATAAGAGTTAGACAAAAGTTAGACAGGCAGTCAAACTTGGAGTAAGACTCGGAGTCAAGCTCAGAGTCAAACCTGGAGAGAAGCTTGGAGTCAAGCTTGGAACCAGACATAGTATTCAATAAAATGTAGTCTTTGCTAATATGATAACCAAAAGGTTATCAATAAATATTAATTGTAAAAATAGTGAATAATAAAAGTATCATTCAAAGTAAGAAGTGTGTTTGCAAATTACTATCAATCGCTGTTCGTCCTAAGGGCCTTTCACACTACCAGTGGTCTCTGGAGAGTCCACATCACAAATATAATATTTTAACAACTATTCAACTGTTTACCGCTCGGGTCCAGCCTATCATTACAATTCCTGGTCGTACTGGTGATCCAGAACATACCTCCCAATATATCAACCAACAGTCCAGGACAATTCATGGTGGCTTAGCGGTTTTTTCCCTCGTAGCGCTGAAGAATTTTCTGACGGAGATATCAAGTTCAAAGCTGCCACAACTCGACAAACCGAACGATCATTCGCAGCACAAACTAAGGGATGGTGGCGCCTACCGAAGAACTTTAGAACGAACGCGAGACTACGACTAACTTGGACATAACTATCTCATCGGATTCAAGTAAGCAAATCAAAATTTAATCATATCTCAAGATGGAACCCATTTTTGAAGAAGCTAGAAAAGGTAAAGATAATAGTATAGAAATAAATAAATTTAGAATTCAATTAGCAATTAGCACTATACCCGAATTCAATGGCAATTCAGATGACCTTTATAGATTTTTAAGTACTGTAGACTCAATTTTAGATGATGTAGATTTTAAGACATATAAATTTATATCAAAAATTGTTATATGTAAATTGACTGGAACAGCTTTTGATTGCATTAGACGGGCTGATTATCAGTTATGGGATAACATCAAACCTATTTTAATTAAGCGATTTAAAGGTAAGAGGTCAATCACTGATCTACATCACGAGCTTGCAACAACAACAAGAAAAAATGGGGAATCGATTGAGGAATTTGCAGAGAAACTTGAGTATTTGCTTACGTTAATAAACAACGAATGCTATTTTACACAAAATGAAATAGCGTATCCATCATATTGTGACTTGGCTTTGGCAGTTTTTGTTAAAGGCCTACCATTGGACTTGAAAGTTATAGTTAAAGCAGCCAAACCGGAAAATTTGAAGGATGCTATGCACATCGCTGCAAAGGAAGAAAAGTATTTAAACATCAGATCTGATAAAAAATACAACCCATTCGTCACTTGCAGATACTGCAAGAAAAGGGGACACCACATTAACCAATGTCGAAAACTTACAAATAGGAAAAGAGATGACAAACTTAGAATCTACAATGGTGGAAATGACGATAGAATGGACTACGAAAGTAATAAGGATCTGAAATATACAAAAACATATGATGATACATACAAGGCATTCATAACAACTAAAGAAGAGTCCGAAGAGTCCGCAGAATCCGAAGATTCCAAAGAACAAGAAGAATACAAAGCAGAAAGTTTGACTCACAACACCAAAATAGAAGAGTTGACGACAATCGCTGCAAATTCATACGAAGAAGAAAAGGATCTATATGAGGCAGAAGATATGGAACAAACCATACGAACAAATTCATACGAAGAAGAAAAGGATCTATATGAGGCAAAAGATATGGAACAAACCATACGAACAAATTCATACGAAGAAGAAAAGGATCTGAACATATATGTGGCACAAGATACGGAACAAACCCAAGATGAGATTTACGACATGAAAGAAATAAATAATGAACAAGAAGAAATAAGAATACTTAATGATGAAGGACCAGAATATATGAAAACTATTCCCATTAAAATAAAGAAGAAAAAGAAAAAGAAAAGAAATATTAAAAGAAGAAAAATTAATGATGGAATTATAGAAGAAAATAATCAAGAAATCAGGGAATATAATATTAATATAATAAGAAAAATACCTTCACAACGAAAATTGTCTATAAATGAAAATATAGCCACTATGACAGATATGTTCAACCGTAAGAATATGAATTTGAACACAAAGGAGAAATATGCACATTTACAAAGCCAAAGCAGCAGAAAATTGATATCGTCGCCAACACATGTAAAGAAGAGAAACATTCCCGATTTTATTATATTCAGAACAGCACCAAAATTGTTTAATTATAAATACCGGAAGAAACTAAAAACTCGCCAGGTGTAAACACAGTAATAACACGCAAGTCATTTGTTTGGTTGACATAAGCGAATTCTCATATTTCAAAGCAACATTTATCCAATTTTGATTACCTAGCAAATTTTTTAAGTATTAACAATACAACGTAAATTTAAATTTTCAATAATTACTATTTATGATTTAAATTATCAATTGCAAGATTCATTACGCCATTATTAATTTCTTGCAGATTTTAAAAACATTTTTCATATTATGATTTTTATGCTCTATTGATATAAAAGTTTTTGAAAAAAAAAATTATTATTTTGCATCATTTATGGTAAGTTGTTCGAAGCATATTTTGTTTTACCGGAATAACATTTTAAATTTCAGTGATGCCTTTACATAATCAGCAACCATCTAATTTGCATTGAACTGCAGATTTTTTTTGTATGTATGTTATTAAAGATTTATTAATGTAGAGATAAAAATAAAATTATTATAAGATTTTCTTTTTCATAGCACTTTATTTGTAAACATATTCTAACAGTAATGACACTTTTGAGGACAAAAGTTTTTAAGGGCCGAAGGAAGAAGAGATGGAACTCATTTTTTTTAATTTTTTCTTAATTTTTATAGTTTTCCGAGGACGAAAAACTTTTGAAGAGGGAGGTTGAACTGTAATAACAATTCGAATCATTATTTTGTTTAATAATTACAAAACGCGATGCTAGTTATATGTAGGTTACGCGGACATCGGAAGTGCTTACTGTTGGATTTTGTAAATAGGTTGTAAACAATAAATTAGTATATAAGAGTTAGACAAAAGTTAGACAGGCAGTCAAACTTGGAGTAAGACTCGGAGTCAAGCTCAGAGTCAAACCTGGAGAGAAGCTTGGAGTCAAGCTTGGAACCAGACATAGTATTCAATAAAATGTAGTCTTTGCTAATATGATAACCAAAAGGTTATCAATAAATATTAACTGTAAAAATAGTGAATAATAAAGGTATCATTCAAAGTAAGAAGTGTGTTTGCAAATTACTATCAATCGCTGTTCGTCCTAAGGGCCTTTCACACTACCAGTGGTCTCTGGAGAGTCCACATCACAAATATAATATTTTAACAACTATTCAACTGTTTACCGCTCGGGTCCAGCCTATCATTACAATTCCTGGTCGTACTGGTGATCCAGAACATACCTCCCAATATATCAACCAACAGTCCAGGACAATTCAGTATCTATCTATCTTCCTGATTACCTGTCAATCAGTCTATCAATTTACCTGTCTATCAATTTACCTGCCAACAATTTACCTGTCAACAATTTACCTGTCCACCTATGAACCTATTTATCAATCCACCATTTTACCTGTCAACCAGACTACCAAGTCCGACATTTTTGACACTATCATAAAATTTCGAGTTGCGTAATTACAAACTAAATTTACGCCGTCAATTAATATATAACTGTAACAAATGTAGCTGAATGTACTTTTGTATAGCCTGCTATGAATAATAAATGAAAAAAAAAATAAAAAAAATGAAAAACTATTTTTAAATTTTATATATCTCAATTAGCTTTAAATTTATCAATCCTTGATAAGGTGTAACAGTTTTTCTGATTGATACTTTGTTTAAATAGTTATATTGATAATCTAGACTTGATTAATGTAAATTAATCATACCTATGTTAAAACAAAATTATGGGCCTAGTTGTAACATGTTGTAACAATTTATGATGTAGTTTAAAGAAAAAAGTTATAACAAGCGCCTATCTCCCTTATATATTAATACATATGTCTATGTGGAATCAACGTATCCCAATCAATCAACATATCCCAAATTCACCATAAATCTAGAAGAAACCAATATATAGTATATTTTTATATATCAAGTTTTTTGAAAACAAATAACTTGAATTTGAAATCATTATTTTTAAGTTATTCAAAAATTAAATCTAAAATTATTGATATAATATATAATATTTTTATGTTATTTTTTAATTTTAATTATTTAGTAACTAAATATATTAAAACAAATATAATGGAATATTTAAAAGCTCAGGTATTTCATTAAATAGAATTAAATTGCGAACTGTGTTTTTGACTATGAACGAATTATTTTCGATGATTACTTTGCTCATTGGGATATAATTTAATTAATTGTAAATAATTAATGCATTACTTTTTACATAGTGAAGCAATGAATATAAAATGAAACTGACACTCGATAATGAATAAGTGGTAGATTTGAACATTGTTTAACTAATTTTATAAAATTATTAAATGAAATCAAATTATTTGAACCAGGAGTTACTAATAAAATATTATAGAATTTAAATTATTATGTAATAATTTTTATAACTAATCAGTATATAGTAACGTATAATACAAATCATATGCGAAAAAACAATAGAGTCAATGTTATGAAATCAATGTTATAAAAGCATTAAAAATGACAAAGAACTTATTATATGCATTGAAACCAATTAATATTTTGTGTGCTCTAATAGGATTCTATTACATCAAGGATTTCTTCACTTCGAACAGAAAGAAATGGGAATTTAAAATTCTTGAATTACTGGATATCATTCGTTGTTGTGTCTGTATTTATATAGCAATTTATATGCCAATATTTCACCACAAAATTTTGGATTTTACACACATGACTGATTTGAAAATATTATTTAATATTTCAACATTAGTGGAGATGCTTGAGGTGAGTATTTTTATTTTATACATACTCACACGCACACATAGAGCCTTGGATTTGTAAATATTTTGTAGAGCTTTGATCAAAAAATCCAAAGGTAATAATAAAAAGATTTATAAAACAATATTTTGTTTTCTTTTAAGACAGTCTTAAAAGAAGTTCGTAAACATAACACATTTTTCATTGAAAAAACTGTTTTTCATGACAAAGTGTTTAAGCAATCAAGATGTGTTTCTGTTTTCAGTGTAAATCTGTAGATATGGAACATAACACTATAATTACTTTTTAATATAAGTTTAAAATTGAAATTATTTCTATTTTACAGTGTGTCATATTTTAAAATGTTTTTTTTCAGGTTTTAATAATTTTGAGTACAGAGCTCATTAACAGAAAGAAAACAAAAAAGTTAATCAACAATCTTTATTATGTTGATCAGAAATTACATAATAAACATGACTATCAAACTCTGAGGCTGATACTGATTTTAATATTTATAGTGGGATTTTTTATATTCTGCAGAGAAACAAGAATTCGTGTCGACTCCATATTTACAATTAGCAGTATCAAGAGTTTGTCCAAAATTTACTATGTCTATATGTTATCATATGTCAGTTATATTTTCACCTTTAAATTTGTAGTAATGTGTTATATTATACACCAAAGGTTTAATTCTATTAATCAAATATTGACGGATTTTTCACAAAAGGTTGCGAACAATGTATGATTAAAATATTTATATTAATTACGAATATTAAATAATATATATTAAATACTTAATATTGTTCCAGAATGAATCTTACATAATTCAAGAAATACAACAGCTACGAATTTGCTATAAATTGTATATAAAATTATACAAATCAACTAGGATTCTTAATTACATATATAATATTCCGATTCTCATGTATGTAACTTTTTTTTCTATATGTTATATTGATGATAGATTGTATAGTCAAAAATGTACATCACTTTTTTATAGAACTTTCTTGACTAGTGGGTTGGTTTTGAAATACTTCTTTTTGATAAAATATTTGATATATGGAGAACAAAGTTTTAGGGTTCAGCTTAATTTATTAGGTAAAAGATAGCAAAATTATAAAGTTCAAAAGCAGTTGGTGTTCTTTTAGACACATGTCTTCAAATTTCAGTTAAAACTTTTGGACTAAGCATGTTAAAAAAAATTTGGACTAAATATGTCAAAAAACAAGTTATGCAAATGGGAATATTTAACAATTAAAAACCTTCCTAGTTTTGTTCAAGTATTCCACTTGTATCATATAATCCGAGATCTTAAATCTACCGCATTTTTTCTAGAAAAAAATAGTTATGACTAATAGACAAAAGAAAACATACCTGTTAAGAAACTATAAGTTTTACTCAAACTTTCCAGACAAAAAAGACTTGATATGTTATAAAAAAATCACAAATTTCAAAATTATTTAATTCGATTCTCAATGAGCAATTGGATTATAGCGACAAATATTCATTAAAAATTGACTAATAATTTCTTATTAAAAACACCTAAATAATTTTAAAGCATCAAAAAATTATATGTATCATCTTTTTCAGGAGATGTTTCCACGCATTTGCTATATTTGTAATGAATGTGAATTCCTTCTTAATTACAACCAAAAAGTACGGATTAAAGATGAAATATCTAATAAATTCTATATTATTTATTTTGAAATATGTAGCGCCGACGTGTTTAATAGTGGCGTCTTGTCATCTAGTAAGCAGAAAAGCTGCCAAAACAGCCATTTTGCTTCACAGGGTGCAAAATAAACATGACCAACGTATAAGAAAAATTGTAAGTATAAAATTATATTTTCATAGAAATTAAAAGATCAGTAACATGGGTATTCTGAGATAAACCACCCTTTTCTTTAGTAATGCATAATTACATTAAATTGCTAATTATTTTTTGAATAATTTACTAAATACCAAAATGCTTTTCATATCTCTCTACTAATATAGAGCATATGAATACTATACTAAAATATTTTTTTTTACAAGTATAGGCCAGAGGAACATTATGGCTCATTAGAGAAAAAAGATTTGAAAAATATAAGGTTTTAATTTTGTGAAATTTTCAAAGAATATTTTTCTTTGCAGATTCAGATATGGTCCCTGCATGTGTACCACAGAAGAGTCAAATTTATGGCAGCTGGTTTATTTAATGTAGATGCGACTTTTATTTTTGATGTAATTACAAAAAAATTATGGAATACAAATTTTATATATATATATATATATATATATATATATATATACATGTGTAAAATATTGAATTTATATATTCTACTCACCAGACATTTATCATTTCTAGACTTGTGTAGCAGCTGTGTCATTTGTGATAATTCTGGTTCAATTTGGTAGTCTCCAGTATTAGTAAGCCTGAAATATCATTAAATAATAATTTAAAATCGATTTATTATTAGCGATGTTAATATTTATTAATTAAATAATGCAACAACTGAATAATGCTCTTGTATGTAAAAGAAAGCATTGTATTTTTTATATTGTGTAAAAAATATAACAGCTAACTAATAATAAAAAAGTATTCATGACGAAGTTGTATGGTTTGCCATCAATTATGCATTTCCATTTAGAATGAAGAAGCCATTAAAGCTTCTGATATAATCTAAAATTAGATGAAACAAAGACGTACTCAATGAACAGTATAATATATAGGTGAGTTAGGGGGTTATTGTAACAGGGGTAAGTAGTAAGGGGTGTTTTTAATAGGATTTTAAACGATATTGAAATATTTTTTTGTCTCATTTGGAAGTGTAAATCGTCTTACATAATATTGTAATTAATATTTTTCTACAAAATTAAATTTTTTTAAATATAAAATTTTTATGGAATCATTTTTACTCGATTGGTAGAAGAATAGTTTTAGCATATATTTATATTTATTTCAGCTTTTGCATCTATATTCATTTAAGAAATATAATCAGTAGTTCTCAAAGTAAACTTATTCAAAAAAGAATTGTTTCAACAATACCCCAGCTTCCCCATTCGTAACTTTATTTGAATTTTCAAAACCGTTTTAAGATTTTTGGCTAACATGAAATATTTTGCACATATCAGATAACTGTACAAAAACTAGTGGTGCTTGGCATTCTATCAAATTGCTGGAACTTCCCATACAGTAAATAAAACCTTAAAAAAAACAAACCGCCAAAAGAGAGATTTATTGCTTCGACATACGAGCAAAATTTGAGATACGAGCTTTGAACGAGTAAGAGTTTTTTTTAGAAAAATGTTAACGGCATAATAAAAATATGAAAAATTTCGTCAGATGTAGCAATGATTTTTTATACCATAGAAATATTTTGTCTGTTTTATGATAGTAAATTTTTTTATATTTAGGAATTTTATTCATATATTCATATTATATTGTGTAGTAACCACGCGAATATACCAAAGATTATTTTAAAATTTGAATTTTTAATATATATTAATAGAGATTGTACGGTTATATATGTTGAATTCGCAATTTTTCAATTAAAAAAAAACAATTGAATTAATATATAGTAAATTCATTTTTAATATTCAAAAAACTTAACAAAAATCATAGTGCTGGAACGAATTAATGGCATTTTAATGTATTTATATGGAAAAAAGTGCTTCGAGATACGAACGGAATGAGCGATTCGACATACGAGCGTGGTTACGGAACGAATTAAACTCGTATGTCGAGGTACCATTGTACTTATATTTGGGCGATGAACTTCATCTATGTCTACAAATTACAATATGTCTATACTTTGTCTACAAAAACAAAAGCATAATAACAAACAACGGCGACACAAGCAATATGCTTCTTGAATCACTCTAATCGAATTCGCCGTTCTATAAAAACTGCTATTCTTTGCATTTTGGCGCCGCATTTTCGAAACCGATGAACCTGCCTTCGCAAAAATGGTAAGAATTTTTTACTAAATCAATCCGAGTCAAATGTTTTTTGAATCATTCAAATCAGTTGATCTGTGCTCTTGATATTGTGAACAATTGAATTCAAGCAAAAGCGCGCACACACACCTATTCAGTTTTTTAAGGTATGACAAAATGTTCAAGAACATTCAATTTTCTATTTCATTTCATTTTACATTTTTTGAAATTACTATAACTCACCCTTCGGAAAGTAAACTATATACTCTAAATTATTAAAAAAACGTTCCAGCCGTTTTGAGATAACGTCGACGAAAGGAAAAATTTGACTCATATAAACACACAAACTTTTTAACTTCGCGAAGGAGAAGTTTGTTTTTATCAAAAAAAAAAAAACGATTTGCTAGTTTTATGTTTTCTCTACGTTTCAAGCCATTCTGAATCGAATGAGAACAAATTTAGAAGAAGTATGTCTGTGTTAAGTTTTTTGCCTTAAATGGACGTCTTCTATAAAACGGCTGGATTGTTTTAAAAATTTAAAAGCCATTCGATGTATCTTGATGAGGACTAGCGTTTAACAATTTTGCGCGATCAGCCAGGCCGTTTCTTTGTAAATTGCAGAAAAGTGAAAACTTTTGCGTTTTCGTTTTAGCTTTCAATTCTGAATCGATTTTAAAAAATCAAAAACTTCTCGAAAGATTAGTTTTAGGTAAAAATATACCGAACCATTTTCTTGAAATTAACTGTTGAAAGAAAAATCCTTTGCCGATTTTCATGAACCTTTTTTGGCATTAGATATCATGGTCTTATAAAACATACTAAAATGTTACGGCCCTACGACAGATAGTTTAATAATAAAAATTCATCAAATTTTACGAAAATGTTATAGTCAAAATTTGTGTCAAAGTTGCTTTTGTGATGTGATGAGTCAAACATTATCAATTCATTAAAATTTAAAATAATGAACTACAATTTTAGGGCATACAAGCATGTGCGTGCAGTATAATTAATATAATTACAGTTAATTTAAATGTGTTTTAAAAAAATTATATTTGAAATTACAATATTTAGATTTAATTGAAATAAACTGTTGAAAATTTTATTTTATAATTTTTATTATTATTATGTTTTATAATTTTATTTTATATATCTAAATTTCAATTTTGATTGATTGTAAATTCTTACACATTTCAGGAAGTTAGTCATGCAACTTGCCTTAAGACTAAATTCAACGAAAGGTGGAACAAGAACTACTAATCCAGAAAGTTAAACAGCAACAAAATGAATTGTATATAGTGTTATTTAAATATATACTAAAGTAGGTCAAAACTTCCATCTGAAGGTGTTTGGCTTTCAGATTTCCGCAATCGCATATCCTTATTACCCCTAATCCATCCCTGTCCTAAATTCTTATCATATCTATTATTTCCGAGCGACGGCACAACCGAGCACATCAGTCGGTTGCCCACATTATATCCCGTATATACTTGTTAGAGATGTTCCATGGACGATTTAAGGTATTATTCTGCAAGGTTACAAAAGTCATTGATTCAAACGGCTCGGTGGCGCTATATTCTACTCATATTCTCACATTACATTATATTAAACCATTATGTTTGCTGAATATACCGACATGTGAGCATGCGACCCATTCTTGGGTCATATTCCAACCCATTCCTAAGGATATAGAATGGGCGAGCTTTTGCTATTAATAATTCCGCAGCTAGACTCGACGAACCCGAAGATATACTCGTCTTCAAATCTTATGTGTCAATGTCAGTTAATATGGAACTATTAGTAAAGCATGAAATTTAACTTGGTTTTAATAATAATCCGTTAAAACTCTATTTTAAAATGCTTTTCTGTATTGTACATTCTGCAGGATGTAGGATGCACTACATTCCGTATTTAGTAGAAGATACTACTAAATATGTGAATATCTTATGAAATTTAATATATATAATTATAAACTTCCCGTAGGGTAAGTTATAGTAACCGCAAAAAAATCAAAAATGAAAATTTTTATATATCTTTACGATTCAAATTTCTGTATGTGTGTGTGTATGCGTGTGTGCGGATATAAATTTTGGTCAAAGATTTCGGGAACACCGATCAACCGATTTGAATTTTTAAATAGACATTCGATGCGTATTGTTAAGGAGACGTGCTGATTAATTTTTGGCAAAGGCGGGTTTAGCCATTCCGAAGATACGGGGCAAAGAGTGCCAAAAATGGTGACTCAGTTTTCAAGAGAACGGGGCGTCCGATTTTAATAATTAAAAAACATTTTACTTGCATTGACAAGAAGAACTAGGTTATGGATTCTTAATAAAAATAAGTTAAAAATATGTCTCATTTTGCGGTCAAAAATGTTTATTGGTCATATGTACATCGAATTATCAGATATTTTAAAGAGATTTTAATAATGTGTACCCATTTTGTGTAAATTTTTTGGGGTTTTGTACTAAGATTTCTAATTACGGTACGGGAATTTCCAGCAATTTGCCTTATGGCACGATGCCTTGCACCCCACTAGTTTTAACACTTTTTCTATGTCCATAGTCACTGAATTTAATAACAAGCTATTTGATGAATTAATAAATTGTGAAGATGAACTAGTGTTCATTGCATCGCGCCGTAAGACCAATTGCTAGAGCTTTTCCCATACTATAATTTAAAATTTTCAAAAGCTTTGAAGTTTACTGAAAATTTTGAATTTTTTGATAAATTTTAAAATCATTTGAAAAGTACACATTTTTTTGAAAAATTTTAAGTAACTGCAAACAATATACTTTTTAGAAAATTTGGAAAATTTGGAAAATTTGGAAAATTTGAAAAAAAATCGACTTTTTCAAAAATTTTTGAGCATTTGATTCAACCATATAAGTAAACTTAAAAAATTAAAAATTATATACAGTACCCTCAAAAATTTAAGCTTTAAATATTAAAATAATTAAAAATAACCGATATTTTGATTTGCAAATTTGCAATAATTATTTTTGACCAACCAAATTTGTCTGGATTTCCATAATCGCTGAACCTGACTTTCCACATTATTTGCAATTCCTCATTTCATGAATACGTGTGAAATGTTTCTCGAATCATTCCAATCGGACTCTCCGTTTTCTCAAAAAACTGAATTGCCATATGTTTTGCACCTTTTGTTGTTTGTCTTCGAAGCGGCTTGACCTGCCTTGCCAAAAACGAATCAGCACAAATTCCCATTAAGAAAAATTGTAGATTTTTTAACTTCCCGTAGGGTAAGTTATTGTAATGGGCCGAAAATCGGAATTGAAAATTTTTACATTTCTCGACGTTTTGAAGGTTTCTGAACGTTTTGGCATACCTCAGAAAAAATGGATGTGTGTGTGTGTGTGTGTGTGTGTGTGTGTGTGAGTGTGTATGTATGTATGGATACAAATTTTCGCCCACGTTTTCGGGCGTACGGATTAACCGATTTGAATGGTTCAAAAAACATTCGATTCCTATTGATAAGGAAAA